TATTATCTCGATGGCAGAACTGGGTTCGTTTTTCACTTTCTTTTTTATACTCTTTTACTGTGTTTGAATCTTCTACCCCACACATGTATTATCTTTATAAATTAATCAAAAACAAAAGACATCTTCAAAACAGAAGCCTAGAGTGAGGAAAAGAATCCTACTTATGCATTAGAGACCTCAGTTCCCTGCCAGAAATAGGGAGCTGGGGACGCTGGACAAGCCATTTCACTGGTGTGGGCCCCAAAAAGTCACCCTGGACCAGCGTTTCTCCACCTGAGCACCACTGACATTTTGGGCAGCAGAGTTCTTTGTGTGGGGGCTGCCTTATGCCTGATTGGAAGTTAAGCAGCACCTCTCGCCTCGGCACACCACAATCTAATTCCATCCCACGCTGTGACAACCAAAAATGTCTCCAGATGTTGGCAAAGGTCCCCTACAGAGCAAAACTGCCCCCAGTTGAGAACCACTGCACTAGATGGTCCGTAAGTTTCTTCCTTGCTGGAAACCTTCTTTGATTATTTTAAACCCTGTGCCTAAAGTTTGAGTTTTAGCCCCAGTGATGCACAGGGAAGTGCTTATGGCAGACCAAAGTCTCATTGATATTTTCAGGATTCATTAAGCAGAAGATCAAATAAAATTGCATAAAATAAATAAAACTGTGAATTTTCAGAGAAAACTTTGGGACATGTGGCATAGATAGGAAACAGAGAATTCAAGCAGATGCAATCATCATTTAAAAACGAATAATAACACCGGCTTTAGACAGTTCCACCTTTAGTTAAGACAAGCGAAATGCTGCGGAAATGTTCAATTGCTTTCTAGTTTGAAATAAACTTACAGCAAAAAACAAAAAACCCACATAGGTTATTTTTTCTGCAATGCCATATTTTTACTTAAAACAAAAAGCCTAGTGTTTTCTCTTTATAAGAAATACAAGGGCATTTTTCTAGAAGAGGTATTTTATTCTTCTGCAATAATACAAACAATCTTACGAAAGGAGACAAATTAGCAATATCTTTACTATCTACCTTTCTAAATATAGTGTCTTATTTTTATTTGCCATTTTATTAACAAGAACTCCCTAATATCTGACACTACCATGCTTTTGAGTTAAAATTATCTATGCTCATGCTAATGACTTGCTTACTGTAAGATCCTCACATCTTTTGAATTAAAAAGAGTGACAAAAGAGATTCAACAAGGTTTTAGATTCATGACTCTTTGGACATCAGTAGTTCATTCATAGAGAGAAAGCCACTTATTAACCAGGATGTTTCATTAACATCAACATTCTACACCTGACACACACTGAAGTGTTCAACAAATGCAGGGCACCATTACCATTACTCACAACCATGCCAGAAAATAGAGTTTTATTCCAAATTACCAGTTTGGCTTTACAGCAGCTGAAAAGCACAAAGTATGACAGAGGAGACAGATCACACAATAAATTAATATTCTGAGCTCTCAAACCTTACATCATGCCTTATCTTAATTTTCACATTTGTGTCTTTCCACGTGCTCAAATAGGGCCAAACTGAGTCACCCGACCCCATTCTTTTCCACTGCCACCACCCCTTTAAGTGTCTCTTTTGTAAATGCAGATACTAGGACGTCTACTAGGAAGTGGCCCAGGCTAGCTGGTGCATACAGTTGTCAAATCCCTGAGTTGGGTTCAATCAGCCTAACATTCTAACAAACTGATCCCTGATACCGAGAGAGGTGGACATGGTTCTGCTCTGCAGAGACGGATGAAATGAGGGGTCCTTCCACCATCCTGCAGGCCTTTATCGGAAAAGTCAGTAAAGGGCACTGGGCTAGAAGTTAGGATCCCAGTTCTTTTTACACCGTAATGGACTTAAGTCATAACACCTTCTACCCTTGATCTTTTAGAATACTGAACTCCGGAGGTACTCTCCAGATTTAAAATTCTGTGAGCCTTTGAGTCTTTCTTTAAACCAGATTATGCAATTAAACTTACGTTTGAAAAACACACACAAGAGCCCTTTTCACTGACTTTATGGAAGAAAATGGACTTAGCTTGACTAGCAACTGTAAACCACAAAGAGTTAACTTTTATTGTCCCAGCAGATATCAAATAGATGGGGAGCCAAAGTTAATTTTTTCTTGTGGGGGGGGGTTGCCGGAGATCATGAACTGAGTGCGCTATTATTCCAAAGTGTAACTCAAGCCTATGTCTATAAGTAAGGACTGCTAGGAAGGCCGGGAGCTTTTTCTAATAATGTTTTCAAGACAAATAGCTATGAAGTGATTAATGTGGCCAAGATCCCTTCGCCAATCCTTTTGTGGACATGTTTTTCCTCTTGCCTGTCCCTCACCCTCAATCCTGTATCTCTCTAACAAATCAGGAGAAAGTCCACTGTATGATCTCCAAGTCATCTACGACTGGCTCTAGGACTTGAAGTCATTTTGCCAATCCTAGCAGATTTATTTATCCAACACCTGATGAAATGCACACGTGTATACAAATGAATCCATCATCCAGATGTTCCATCTATCTTGAGAAAAAAAAAAACTCAAAAGACTAGTCCATTTACTATGATGTCTCTCCATATTAGTAAAGAAATAGAGCCAAAATGTAGCATAAAAAACTTCCAAAGAAGAGGAGGCATAAGGGGGAAACATACTTCTGCAAATTCTAAGGAGATCTATAAACTGCAATCTGAGAATTTTATTAAGCTAAGCTTCTTAGTATAGAAATCCCCAAAACTCTCCAACTGGGCAGCTAATTGAGAGTTAGAAAGAGCCAAAATGACTTTCCTCTTTCTCCTATTAATCACAGGCAATATAGAAACCCTTGCTCAATAAGATAATGTGACTTTTGTCAATGCATGTTCAAATCAGATAGAGGATTGGCTGGCAATGATGTCATCCCCAGGGGTTAATCCCCAGGGAATGCAGTTTTAATATCATATGCATCAACACGTCATTTACATAACAAAGTATTATATTAAGTGTAACAATAAATAAGCTGTGCAGTTAAAAACAGCTATTAGAGAAAGGCTATGTGCCACTGAAAAGGAGTTAGGGGACAAAGACTTTTTTTTTTAGACTAAATGGAACTAGGTCATCAAACAATACACATCTCTAAAAAAAAGCAAAAAATGAATATTGAAATTCAAGTGACCTAGAACATTCTAGTACTAGAAATACGGAAATGTTGCCTCCAATGAAAAATATTCAGTAATTAAGTAGAGATATTTGTAAGGTTTTTGTGTGTTTGGGAGACAAGTTAAAAAAAACTAAAGTCATTGAAAAATAAGTGAACTAGTAGCTATTGCTTTTCTGGGAACAGCAACTTCCTTATCTTTAACAGGGAAAATTGGCCAAGTCAAATCGTGACTTAAAACCTTGTAATAAATTTTAAAGTGTCAAAGGTAGTTAAAATGGCACAGAGGGAAGACAGAAAAGTCACGCAAAGCGAACAATGAGCAGAACTGAGAGAGGAAACCTTGAAATACAGCTTTATGAGATTATTGATCAAGAAATGTCCACACATATGAAGAAAGCTGTTTGCACAAATGAGCAATGCCAACTCACGCGGTCAGTTTGAGAGGACATAAGTCATCATTAGTCATGATGATTCTGAAAACTGTTCTCCTGCTGCCTTATTAAGATCTGTATTTCCAATCCAAAGGAAGTGTTAGGCTTGTGCACTGATTTATGACTACAAACTTAGCAGGAATGCTTGTCACTGTAAACCCACAGCGAGCTGTTGAAGAATTTTTTTAAGTCATACATCTGTTCAAGAATGACCAAGTGGAAAACACTGATTATATTGTGATTGGACAGGTGTGGGTGTCTGGGTGTGCAGGTGGAATTTTCGGGCTGGTGTGGATAATCTCTATACCAAGGACGTTAGAGAAAGAAGCCAACCAAGGCTTTGAACACGCCCATCCCCACACACAGGGATCGCCTGTCACATCACATCAACCTTGCTAGCTTTGGAGGGACGGCCATAGAAAAGTTAAAGGAGAAAAGAGTACAGGGATGCAGATGCTTCATCAAGGGGGGTCCTTAAACCCTGGTTGGGTGGAGGGATGTGGGCACATGGGGAGTTCTCAGCGAGTCCATGAACCTGTGCATGTACATCTTCCTGGGAGTTGAATCATAGCTTGGCTAAGGCGTCCGTGGAACCCCCAGACGTTAAACGCTACTGATTCAGGAGAAAAGCGCACCAGGGGCACCGCGCTGGCGTCGGCTGCCTACCTAGGTGCGGGATACCAGGCTTTCCACCTCCCATCCTTCCCAAGCCATGAGTTTAGGATTAAAAGATGCCTTTCCTTCCAGGAGCGGATTGACAGGGCAAATGAGGCAAGAGAAGGTCTGAAAAAGAGGGGAAGCAACGTAGCCACTCCGGCCTGGTGGAAAAATCCGAGGTGCCTAAAGGGGGAAGAGACAGAACTTCCAGACCCGCTCTAGTTTTCTGCTCGGGCGGCAAGCTTAGCGCTTCAGCTGAAAGATGCGCCCCGGGTGCACGCAGCGTCCTTCCAGCAAGAGCCCCGCAACCGGGGCTGCAGGTGTAGGCTAAGCTGGCTCCTATAAGGATCCAGGCTCAGACCCAAGGGATGAAGCCCCAAGGCCGGCTTCTCCAAAACTATCGCTCACCCCGAGCTCGCGCTCCCCCTCCTCATACCTAAATCCATCAAGTGGCCTCTCTCGCCCCCAAGGAGCACCCCGGGGATTTGTGAGAAGCAGACATGAACCCCGAAGTTGGCAGCGGCCGCTGCCCGGCCCCAGCCACGCAACCCCACTTAGGAGCGCCGCTTCCAACTTCGGGGTGCCAACCAACTACCGCACAGGAGGTCACCCCCGCAACTCATGAGCGTCGGGATGAGGGGGGGCTGCCCCGAGCCGAGTCAAGTCGGTATCAGCCTGAGAGGCAGGTGCCGCCCACGAGACAGAGACTGAGCACTGGGTCCAGCGCCACCCCAACCCGGTCTTCCCAACCCCTCTTTTGCCCTTCCAACCTTTCTTACTTGACTAGAGCCGCATCCAAGTTGGGCTGGCGCGTCCAGGACGAGGCACGGATCTCGGCACCGCAGCCGGAGGATGCTCACCGTGCCACCTCCCCGCGGGCGCCCCGGCTGTGGCCCATCACCTCCGCAGGCTCACTGTGAAAGTTCCCAGGTCTCTCCGAAGACAAGTCCGAAACTGCCGCAGAAAAGCAGCGGCTGCAGAAGCGCGGGTGCGACTTCACTCCTGGGGTCTGGCTGCAGCCGCACGCGGGGTCGGTGCGCCCCGTCCGGGCGGCGCGCAGCTAGCAGTGCGGAGCCGAGCGGGCAGGCGCGCGGGCCGGGAGGGGCCGGGCTCACCGCGGGCCGCGCTGATTGGCCCTGCCGCCGGCCGCCCCTGCCCTACCGCCCCGCCCGGTGGTCCACGTGGGCCGGCCCTCTTCGCTCCCCGCACCCGGGCTCGTTCGCCCTCCCCGCCTCGCCCCTGCTCGGCTCCCAGCGCCTCTCCCGAGCGCCTCGCTGTGGCCACCACTCCGCAGGCAGGTGCTAGGGAAAGGTATTCCTTCTGAATACCTGAGAGCCGCGTGAGCCCTGCAGAAGGGAGTGGAATTTAGGGTTCGGCTCCCAATCAAAAACCATCCCCACGCAGGGTGTCTCCATCCGAGGACCCAAAACAGTTTGCAAACGGGCTTCCTCAGACGCCCTGAGCGTAACACAGGCATAACTAATCCGGCTTCTTATGTAACTTGCTTGCATGGGAGAGGAGGGAAATCCGCACACACGTCAATACTGGAATACTTTCTTATTTTAAAAATTATGAAAGTACGGCTAAGACTTCTTTGACTGGCACTCCATGCTAAGCCCTCTTCCCCTCTCCAAGTGAAGTGACACTAATAATCCGTGACTTTTAAATAGTATTTATTTTACAGAGAATACCTCATTTGATCTCCATTTTATAGATTAGAAAACTGAGGCACGAAGAGACTAGTTTACTGAAGATCGCAGCTAATCAGGAGTAACTGTGTGTAATTTGAACCCAGCAAGTCTGGTTGCAGAATCCACTTTCTTTAATATTCACAGTGTAATCTAGAAGAGGCACCCTCGGAGACTTTGTTAGCAATGCAGACTTCGAGACCCGACCCTGGAATCAGAAACTTCATTTTAACAAGATCCCCAGGTGGTTAGTATATGCATAAAGTTTGAGAAGCATTACCCTATACCACTAAGCTGTTCACTGTTCAGGGTTTGTCTTACAATCTTCTGATCCTTTAACTCTGCATTGATATAAAATAATGCGTCATCCTGCCCCAGCTGCGCTCCAGAGTATATTTGCCCTTTTCTGAGCCTACTGCTTGAGCTAATATACGGAAACCTTCCTGTCTCTCTTCCCCATTCCTTTATTCTATGCACACACTTACCGCATACCGTATTATTTTGTGTATCATTTAACACTTTCAATTCTTTGCTCTTTTATCATCAAAACTGGGGCTCTGAGCCAAAGACAGTTGTGTTACCAAGTAGTCCCCAGTCTTGGAGGGAATTCAAGCATCAGAGACAGGGGCTTGAACTTTGAGATGTCTCTTTGTGCTGAGATTCTAGGGAGAATGAGGACAGATGCAAGGAAAACATGCCAAGAGATTCCAGACCTCTCTCCAGAGACCATTCATTCACTCAGTGAAATAGAGGGCCTACTCTGTGTCCGGCACTGTAAACAGGGGCTGATACCTACAAAAGTAAAAAAACAAATTAAAAAAAAAAACAGGAAAAACTCCTGCTCCTATGGAGCTTACGGTCTAGTGAAGGAAAACAGGCAATAATGTGATAAGTAAAATACAGTTGAATAAAAGGTGTATTACAGAGAGAAATTAAGTGTGGAAAAGGAGATTAGTGCTGGGGTGGGGTGATTTTAAGGGAATGGTCAAGCTAGTTGTCACCCGACCTTTGGAACAAAGACTTAGGGAGCAAGTCATTTAGAAGTACTCCACATTCATTCATTCACCAAATATTTATTGACTGGGGACTTTGTGTTAAGCATGGTCCTGCCATGGGTCTGAGTGTTCACTTAAGCACGGCTGTTTTTCTAAGTCTAAGTTTCCCTGGACTGAAGTTTACCTATCCTGATGGGGAAAAAACAAATTTAACAATTTTGTGGCTCTACCTAATACCGTATTCTACCATCCTGGGTGCTCAATATTGTTAGGGGTTTGTGTCCTCCAAATTCATATGCTGATGTCTTAATCCCTAGTACCTTGGAATGTGGCCTTATTTGGAGTGCCAAAGATGGCTGACAAACCACCAGAAGAGGAGAGAGGTATAGAATAGACTCTCTTTCTCTCAGCCCTCAGAAGGAACCAAACTCACCAACTTCTTGATCTCAGACGTCTAGCCTCCAGAGCTGATTGATGATAAATTTCTGTTGTTTAGGCCCCCTAATTTGTGATACTTTGCTAAAGCAGCCCTAACAAACTAATAAAAGTATGATTCTGAGATAAGATGGCACAGTTAAGTACCATCTACGATTTTCCAATGTCTTTTGTGCAATGGCAAGAAGCCAAAATGATCTGAAGAATTGAGATTTACTAACCAAATCACCAAAAGAAAGGGCAAATTATGTTTTTTAAAAAGAAAAGCCAAATGAAGGGCACCTGGGTGGCTCAGTCTCTTAGGCAACCGACTCTTGATTTTGGCTCAGATCATGATCTCAGGGTCATGATCTCAGGGTGTGAGATCAAGCCCCTCATCAGCTCTGCGCTGAGTGCAGCGCTGGCTTGGAATTCTCCATCTTCCTCTCCCTCTGCCCCTCCCCCCATCTCACTGGCTCGCTTGCTCTCTCTAAATAAATTAAATAAAATAAAGCCACATAAGCCCCAATTATTCAATTATTTCTTCATCACATATTTATTGAATGCCTGCTACACACCAGGCTCTGGGATACCATGACAAACAAGGCAGATGTGGTCTCTGCTTTCATATGACTTGTGTGTCTTGTTACAGGAAGCGTTGGACAGTGAGCAAATCAACAAATATATGAACAAGGTAATTTCAGAACAGAGTAAGGGCTTAAAAGAAAGGAAAGAAGGCTAGAGGATTAAAAGAATGGGGGATGGGTTTAATTTAGATTGGCTGACCAGGGTAAGTCCACATGAGGTAGGGACGTATGAGCTAAGACCCCAGTGACAGAAAGCCATCCAAGCAAAGAGCTGGTAAAAACTGTTCCAGGCAAAGATAACAATCCCTCTTGTTAAAAAAAAAAAAAAAAAATCCCTGCCATTCATTCTATAACACCCTTCCTTTCTCTCTTTATCACCGATTTTGCATCCTCTGAGGTAGTGCAAAAATCAACAAATATCTGCTTCATAAAAATGGGGTCCAATTATTTATCTTCTTACAAAAGACCCTGTGAAGGTTGTCCCAACAGGGTTTTGCATGCACGCGCACACTCACACCCTCTGACGTGCCTCTGTATTTGTAGACGGTGATACCACAGGACTTAGACATTGTGTTTATTTTCCATATTTGTAGCATCTGTTGGGCACATCCTGGGGATTAATTCAATCTACTGATAACCAACTGTGCCTGAGAAGGAAAATTCTAACTCTATGAGGCCCGTTCATAAAATCTTCTTATTATCAAGTGAAGCTTCAGTTTTAAAATTGTGCAGTGCTCATGAACTTCGAATGTAATTTTTACTTAGGAGACTCATAAGAATACTAATTACCATTAAACGGGGGATTGTATGTGGTTCGCTATGCTAAGTGCTTCACATGGATTGTTATCCTCACAACCCTAGGACGTAAGTTCTCTTATATAGAACATCCATTCCACAGATGGGAAAACCGGGGCTCCAAAAAGGTTAAGTAATATGCCCACAGTTGAAACCGCTATGTGATGGCAGACTTAGGCCTTGAGCCAGTCTCTTTTAACTGCAAGGCTTTTGCGGGGGGGGGGCGGGCGAGCAGAAAGCAAAAAGCATTTGTGCATTCCTTTGCATTTGTCTTTGAAATTTTCAAAGCACTGTTTTCTGACTTTTTTTTTTCTATTTACCCCAGCCCTCTAGCTTTCAAGTTCACTTTTCTAGGCAGATATTTGCTTTGCTTTCCCTTACTTCAAACTGGGAAATGCAAGAACTTTGAAAAATGAAATGACTGATAGATTTTTTTTTGTTTTCAGCCTGTTTTTCAAGCACCCTCTGAGGAAATGTGAGTCAAGCTTCTTGAGCTCAGCCTGCCTTTTCAGACATCCCTACCTCACACACTGACACTCCCCAACACAAAGGGGGTCCCTCCCCTCACTCAAATACGCCCCCCTGCCAAACCAAATGCTGGGCACGATGTGGAACGCCAGCTTTAGCCTCTTCACACAGATACTAATAGGCTCTCCTCCCTGAGAGTGAACATCTAAAAATGGCTTCAGCCGGTCTTTGTGAATCACTTTCTATTCTAGCAGCTTCCCTACAGTCTTGGTCAGGGAAAAAGCCCGGGAAACTTGCAATGGTGAAAAGATGTGAGGTATCTCTCATTGCATCCCAGACTCACCCCCTCCCCCAGGCCTCACTTAGGAAGTGGGCAGCCGTTTTAGCTGTGAAATGACTTCCTGCCTGGGATGGTTTGGTCAGGCTTGCTTTAAACTTCTGGAACCCAGACAAGGTGTCTGGCTGTTTGCTTTGGAAGGCTCAGGTGGGTTTCACTATCCTTCCCTTCACTAACCACAACTGCCTCAATAATTTATGCCCTGGAAAAGAACAGCACTTCAGGGCAAATTAGCATAAGAAGGATTTATGAAACCACAGTGGGAGGGCATTTTTAGAGATCACACAAGAGCTGTTGCATGGAGTACTATGAGCTAGCTCCGAGCAGGACCAGCCTCGAGTAGAACCATCAAAGAAATAATACTCGTTTGGTACTATTTTTTTTCCCCATCCCTTCCACCCACCATCTCCCAATGTGGTCATATCGCCCCCAGCTACCCAGAAGACCCCATTGTCACTCATTAATTTATTTTTTTCACTGATTCTTTTATGAATTCATTTAAAATTTTTGTTTGTCAAATTTGTACATCCATGTTCATTGCAGTAGTATACACTTAGCCAAAAGCTAGAAGCAACTCAAGTGTCCTTGAATGGATAAACAAAATGTGGTATGCACATACAATACAATATTATCTAGCCTTTAAAAGGAAGGATATTCTGCTACATGCTCCTAGAAGGATGAACATGGAGGACATTATGCTAAGTGGAATAAGCCAGTCAAAAAAGACATCTACCATATAATTCCACTTATATGCAGT